CGTCCGTCCTACCGACCGTTACCGTACTGTTCCGTTCCGTTACCTACTGTTCTACTACACTTCTTACGTCACTACTCTCTCTCTCTCTCTCTCTCTCTCTCTCTAAAAATAAATAAAACTTTAGCAGAGGCCGCCACAGGGCACCTCCCTCATGGCGTATGGAAATGGAAGTGTTGTGCACTCATTTAATCACTGCCGTTAGAATTAGTGAACAAGTCAGAAGCCGTTTAGATCTCCACTTTAGGGTAGCCAGCTTTTGCGATGGGTAATCAGGACCGTTCGTTGGGAGATCATTCCGATATTGATTTACCTCTCAATTTTCTTCGGAAAGTTTTTAATCCTATTTTATTTCTCAAATTTAAAATTGGATGTAATAGGCTTTTCTTTATAAAATCAAGTAAAGCCTCACTTCGAACTCTTGTCTACAAAAAAAAAAAATCCTCTTTCCAGCACCGCCTATAAAACTTGAAGATAAAAAAAATAGTACAAATCTTACGGATATGTAAAACTTATTTTTACGGTAAAAATAGACGATCCATATTATGTGTTACAATATACATTGTTTTTAGGCTTTGAAATCTTTTTTTTTTTTTTACATTCATAAGGGTTAAGGCCAAGATGGTCGATTTAGAGGTTTTCTAGCATCCGAACTACAATTTTTGGTGATTTTTTATATGAGGCTTTACTTAATTTGATAGGGTTGCAATCCTATCAAATTATTTTCCTTTAGAATTAGTCATGTTCATATCAATCCATTTTTTGAAAGCATAAATTGTACTTTTTCAAAAAATGAATTATATTTTTATTAAATATTTGTATCTATATGTCGGATTAAGTTCAAATTTGACATATTCACACTTCTCATCATTACACACCTATGAAAAGTATTTTAAAAAATAAGACTACTAAAAGTACCCCTAAATATTATTAGGATATTTTGGTTATATATTACTTTGAATTATTTTTTAAAAGTACATAAGAAGTATAAACATTTCAAATTTGAGCTTATTCAAAATAAATAGAATAAAAATACACTTTATGCTATCAAAAATTGGACTTAAATGTAAAATCTAAAATATAAGATTACTTTTAGATTTCAAAACAAAATGGGTTTTTCTTATAAATTTCCTTTTTTAAAAAAAAACATGTAAATATACAATTAAGATACTCTCTATTTAACATTTTATCCATATATTTTAATGGAAAAAAGACAAACTACTTCTCTAAAATTATAATTCCAAATAACCTCCTAGTCCTATAGATATCTCGTGGAACCCAAGTTAAATAAAAAATTGCGAATAACCCACTCCTTACCTTTTCTATCGTCTAAACTAGAGAATATCATTATTTTGCTTAATCACCATGTTATCTAAATTGTAGAAAGTTCTCTTTCTCCCTCACCCGTGGATCTCTTCATCCCTCTCTCTAGCAACCTTCCCTGAATAGTTATCACTCTTCCATCTCCTGAACCTCAACAGTAAGTTAAAGAGACATTACAAACTCAATTTTTTATGATGAAGATGTTAGACAAGAGATAGGTAAAATTGGTAATTTAAAAAATAAATAAATAAAAGTAAAGAAGGGGTTTCAACGTTATTTTTTGTTTAACTTAGAGCGTTTCATGAGTTTTTTATAACAATTAAAGAAGGGGATGTTTATCTTTTTTTCTATTTTAACAAAATATCCATCAAAATACAAATACTTGGAATAGAAAATAAATGATAAAATATTTAATCATTAAAAAAAAGGTATATTTTGATAGATTTTCCTCTTTCAAATTCTCGAGGTGAGACTTTTAAGGGTACTCGTAAAAGTCAAAGGATTTGGATCATGAAGCATGTTCCAAAACCATCACCTAACCTACATTTTTTATTTTCTTTCGAATTCCAAAGAAACAAGAAACAAAGACATAAGAGAAGCATAGCACGTTAGATTGGGATCGTATACTATTGGAAGAAGAACTAGACTACACTAAACCAAGAGGCCAGGTATATCGTACGCAATTCATTTCCATATTCCTTAGCCAAAATGAAAGCTTAATTTATCATGTTAACAGTTCCTAAAAAAACAGCATTGCCCTATCGAGCGAGAGAGAGAGAGAGAGAGCTATTCTCCAAACTCAAGTACAACTATGCATAGATATGAACTCTTTGGTTTTTTTTTTTTTTTTTTTTTTTTTTTTTGGGGGGGGTAATTCAATGGGGAAGACAGGCCCTACCTGTTTTTTTCAAATAGTTTAAGAGTTAGTTTCTTGAAAGTGTTATTGGGGTCGTTTCAATGGGAATGAAAACTGCATTATGATGACTAGGGTGTGGGAGTGCTATCACCACGACCCCAACCCCTTTCCCGTGTAGATAGGAACTTAGCTCAAAGATAAAGAGCGGGAAAAGAGGCAAATGTTGTAGACAATATATTAGACTTTGATTATGGGTCTAATTGAATCAAAACATTTGGACCGAACTAAAAAGCAACAATACGCATAATTAATTCAAAAGTATAAAATATATAACAAAAAAATTAACCACCATGTCAAAGTTAAGAAAAATGAATTGGGATTGGACTTAAAGTGCTTAGCCGTTGATGTCCAGCAATTCTGCATCTCAAGTTCGATTCCTACCATTGAACTAGTAACTACCCAAAAAAAGCAAGTTAAAAAACAGCAGATCAACCACATCATTGGTTGGCTGCCCAACCCATTTGGACTGGAATGGAAACAGCGATTTAATTCCATTTACGCGAAAAAGCTCTAACCTTATTCTCATACACCTAAACATTATCCGGTACTCACATTTAGGGGTGTTTATGATTCCTCAAGTCTTTGTCAAAACGAGTCACAGTAGAGTAATTTCATTTGGGCCCGACTTCTTGAGTGGAGCCATGAAATTGCTTAAAGAGGTGTAAGAAAACAAAGTGCCCTTACAAGAGAGCATCGATGTGTCATTGTCCTCAAGATTCAAAGCCACTGCCTAAAAGGGTGATTCAAGAGGAAAAAACGTGCATTCTCATACAAAGTTAGGCCTCTTACATATATCATTCTTCCACACCGTACATGCACCTAAAGAAGTCAGGATTGTCTTAGTGCGACTTTAACCACCAAACAGTAAGGATCCCCCCTTGATTTGCCCATCTCTCTCTCTCTCTCTCACTCTCTCTCTTTCTCTCTCAAAGTAAACAATTTGTGTAGATATAGAAATACAGTGGCTGGGCAGGACCCATGTGATTGCATTGTACTGTGAATGAAATTTTGGGTGCTTGGAACATTCTCACATGTCCAAAAAGAGCTGCTCTATTTGAGCGCGAAAATTGACCTATACCATACCAAATAATGCTCCTTTCCTTTTTAGTCTACCATGAAATCTCTTTCACTAAGTTCAATGGGATTGAAACCACCTCCTGAAAACTGAAGTTTCTCCCGAGATCCAGAGTGAAGACTTCACATGTCTCCACTTCAAGAGACAAATTATTGGTCAACTAAAATTGCATTGAACCTCCATGTCCGAAAAGAGCTGCTCTATTTGAGCACAAAAACTGACCTGTACCATGACCAAATGATGCTCCATTCCTTTTCAGTCTACCATGAAACCTCTTTCACTAAGTTCAATGGGATTGCAACCACCTCCTGAAAACTGAAGTTTCTCCTGAGATCCAGAGTGAAGACTTCACGTCTCCGCTTCAGCAGATAAATTATTGGTTGACTAAAAAGATATTGAACCTCCATCTTTTGAACTGGTACCCGGCTCTCATTGTATCCAAAAGATACAATAAACCCATTTTCACAACATCAAGTTTCACAACACTACTGTATCTTTTTAGACAAAGTTAACTTTACTGATAAGTTATGTGATTTGTCATAGGACGGGCCTCTTTCGATCACTACAGTCAATTTCGTCAGGTCGAGCATCCTTTCCACTTCTGACCACTCTCCTTAATGCAAATTTCTCAGAGAAATACTGCCCAAATTTCTTGTCACTAAACGAGGACCAAAATACAAATAGCCATTTCTCTTATTCAGTAACTGCAGACTGGAACAGGAGTTCTTTTATTGAGGCAGCAAGCTCAATATCACAAAGCCACCCATTACTATCTCATAATGTGGACTTAGCGTCACCGACTCTTCACAGGTGATCAGCACATCTCACTATAAATTCATCCCCCTTAATATGCTCATACATTTCTCTACATTTTCCACATCTCCTTGCATCTCGAAATCTTTAAAGATAGCATGCACATTCTCCAGCTTTGGCTTCCAGCCAACGCCCTTACCTGATGATACCGCTTCCTCCATGGCGGCCAAAGCATTACCCAACTGCCCATTTTGCAAATAGCCCTCTGCCAATATCTCCCATGTGTTCGGGTTTGGCATCCCTCCCTGTCTCCTCATTCTTACAAAGAACAGTTCCGCCTTTTTAACCATGCCTTTTCTTGCATAACAAGCGAGAAGGATATTGGTAACCCGAACATCATAACTCAACCCTGCTGATTCCCACTCCTCAAAACATGACTCTGCACCTTCAATGTCTCCAAGCTTCACCAATGAGGAAATCAAGCAAATATAGCTCGAATTTGTCATATTCTTGAAGGAGGTCTTGTACAATTTCCATATCCTATACATCTCTGCCTTCTTCCCCATTCCTGCATACAGGCTGAGGAGATACTTGTAAGGAGCACGCTCGTTGTTAACTATCCGGTTTTCCACCTCCTTCAAGCACAATTCTGCCTTCTCAATTAGGTTCTCCTTGATGTACATGTTTGCCAAGGTGCTATACACAATCCAGTTTGCCCTCTCGGGGCTTACCTTCTTCAATTCGAGGTACACCTTGTCCATCTCTTCTACATCCGACACTGCCCCGCATCTTGTTATCCAAATGGTATAGGAATTTGCATCTGGTAGAGTGCTAGAATCCCTCATTTCCTTGAGTAATATTGGTATTTTCTCCAGGTTGTTTGTGTTGAGATAGAGAGTCATCATCCGGTTATATGGTAGTGCTGATGTTAAAAACCCCAGCATCCTCATCTTTTTCATAGTGGTCTCAGCTCTTTCCTTCATATTTTCTTTCACGTATACATTTAAAAGCGCAGAATAAGTGAGCTTGTTTTTCATGCCCTTAGGAAGTTGTAAGAAGTACCTTTCAGCATGATGGGGTCCATTTACTTTGGATATCAGATCCAAATGAATAGCATAGTCGCCAGAGCGCAACTGATATTTGGTGCCATGTTGAATTAACCAGTCAGACACCTGCAAATGAAGAAAATTGCATACAGGTTTTAGTCCAAAACTAATGTGTCTGAGACTGCTCCACATTCAAAAGCCAAAGTAACTGCACCGCCATTAGTAATTCTCAACAGTAGAAAAACTGGAAACCTGACTGCCCACATGATAATAGACCCATGATACAATTTAGACTCAGTGACATACTTACTGAATATGAGTACTACCTCATTTTCTTGAGGCACTGGCACTTGGAAGTGTCTCGATTATCAGAGATCAAGAGAAGACACCATTGTTATACATGTCTTGTAGCCTTTGGTTGCCTCTATTAACTTGTGAGGTGTTAGAAGCATAAAACCAACTTGAGTTTAAATGCGCTAAAGTTTGGGCAAGCTCAAGGGCACAAAAAAGAGGTATGATAATATGGGTAAAAGGTAATGGAACTAAAATTCAAATAAGATAGGAAAGTACATTACTCTTTCCTTTTGAGAGGAGAATGTAACAAGATAGGATAATGTACATTGATAGGAAAGTGTATATTGCATGTAACAAGATAGGAAAGTGTATATTGTACCATTATATATACAATGAAAGAACTACCACAAGTCACTATGTGTGGGGCACAGTTATTTTTCAAAGAGTTCCTCTAAAATTTCTATATGGTATCAGAGCAATAGGTGTCTTTCTCTACGGGTTTCCTGTCAAGAGATTAAGCCCATTGATCTACAATGTCCTTCTATTCTCTCTTGGCCCTCTTCTCTACTCTCTCTCTCTCTACGCTTCATCTCTTTCCTAAACATCCAACTCTAACTTGATTTTTACATCTTTGCTTCTCGTGCATCTAATTACATATTATCCTCCTTAAGTTTTACATCTGTCTTTTTTTTCCCAATGTTTTGACGTTCTCTCTCTCTACCTCTCGGTGGTCCTAGGGTGCTTGATTTTATTTTCCTGTTTTGCATTATTTTGTGATAGCCATTCATCTTTTTGTGGTGCTTTGAAGGCTTAAAGTTGAGCGTGTTGTGCCGTGCAAGGTTTTTAACTAACGTCCAACTCTCTCTCTCTCTTAGCATCTTCATCACACATTCTTTATTAGCTTATATTTAAACCCCTCATCCTGGTTGATATATTGGTAGCTCTTCTGGTTACCATATCATCCGTATCACCCATTGTCTCTAATTTAATCTTCACCTTTTCTCAGTCGATCCATCTATCCTCAAAATACTTCTTTATTCTAATGGACACTTCATCCTCACCAAACACATATTCCTATCCCTCCACCCTGAATATAAGAAATTTTGTGTCCATTAAATTAACACAGAACAACTATTTATTATGGGAAACCTAAATTTTCTCTCTCATAGAGAGTCAAGAACTTTTTGGATTCATTAATGGTGATTGCCCTACACCAAGTCAAAAGATTTATTTTCCTGATGGTAAGAGTGAGATCGAAAACCCAGACTATAAATCATGGTTAAAGTCCAACCTGCTTCTTAAAGCTTGAATTACAAGGACATTATCAGAAGAGGTCTAAGCCTTGTTGTTGGCCTCAAGACGTCTACAGAAGTTTGGAAATGCCTGAAGAATGCCTATGTAGGTAATTCTTAAGCTAAGGAGTTCCAACTTACCCAGCAACTCCAACTCTGCAAGAAGGAGAATTCAACCCTATCAGAATACCTATGCAAATTCAAGAGTATTTGTGATAATTTAGCTGCTATTGGCAAACCTGTACCAGATGAAAATAAGGTATTTTCGCTTCTTAATGGATTTGGTCCAAAATATGAGAGTTTTGCTACCACTATGCTTAAGCCTCTGATTCCTTTCTATTATGAAATTATACTACTTCTTCAAAGCCATAAGATTAGAAATCAGTCTCATGTCTCTGAAGAATATTCAAATCCCAATCAGAATATGGTTCTTGCTAGACAACAGAGAAATTTCGGACCTAACAAAGGTACTTGAAATTACAGAGGTAAAGGCATACATAACTTTGGTGGTCAACAGTTTTTCAATTCTCTAGGGCATGGATTTGCTCAAACATGCCAAAACAATAATGGGTTACGTGGCATGCCTCAGAGAAACCAAGAAAGTGATGGTACATCTATGCAAAATGTGAATCACAAGTTCCAACAAGATTCACAGATACAGCAATCAGCTCAGATACCCTAGGAAAAGTGACAAAATTTGTGGAAAATTTAAACATACTGCATCAAAGCGCTGGCACCGATTCAATCATATGTACCAAGAAAAAGACAATCATCAAGCTATTGCTACAATGACTATAGCAAATTTCCAAGACTCGAAATGGTTCCTAGGCACTGGTCCCTATGACCGGAGACCCAGGTAAACTGCAAAAGCTTCGCCCTTATAGTGCTATAGATACATTCATGGTTGGCAATGGTGAGCAATTGACTATTTCACATGTTGATATTGCAAATATTGATGTTGGGTATAAAAAATTTAATATTTCTAATGTTCTTTTGGTGCCAGAGATGAAAAAGAATTTACTATCTGTTAGCCAGTTTACAAAAGATTTTCCTTGTATTTTTTAGTTCTCATCAATTGGCTTTTGGATTAAGGAAATGAGTACATGGAGAACTCTAGCCAGTGGGAGTAGAAAGAGTGGACTTTATGCACTTGAGGATGTGAAGGAGGCTTTATTTTCTAATCGAAATAAGATAACATCAGAAGATGTATGGTATCAACAACTCGAACATCCTCAAACTAAAATAGTCCGTTACTTAGAATCTAAACAATTAATTAATGTTGATGCATGGAATAAATCTCATTCTGTTTGTGCTAGTTGTCAGATGGGAAAAAGTTGTAAACTGCCATTTAGTAGTACTGATAAGACCTCCACAGAACCTCTTTTTAAGATTCATTTAGATTTATGGGGTCCTGCTCCAGTTTTATCTACTCAGAGTTATCATTTTTATGTGGTGTTTGTGGATGATTACACTTGTTTTTCTTGGATTTATCCTTTGAAAAGAAAATCTGTTTTTTTCTCTGCATTCATGAAATTTCATCATATGGTTGAAAGGAGATTTGAAAAATGAATTTGAATTTTTCAATGTGATGGAGGTGGTGAGTTTGCTAAGAAATAATTCATTGCCCATCTTAATGAGAATGGAATTGTGCAGCAGATATCATGTCCGGGAACCCCTGAACAAAATGGAATAGCTAAAAAAAAACATAGAAATATTGTAGAATTGAGTCTTATAATGATGTTTCATGCAGGAATTCCTAAACGATTTTGGGTTGAAGCTTTCCATACTGCAGTCTTTGTAATAAATAGGATTCCCTCGGCCAATTTGCAAATGGATTCACCATATTCGTTGTTGTTTGGCCGCCTACCAGACTATTCTTCACTCCGGGTTTTTGGTTGTAGGTGTTTTTCGTACCTTCGAGGCTATGCTGCAGATAAATTCTCTCCTCATTCTCTTCCATGTGTATTTTTAAGCTACAATAATATTCAACATAAAGGTTACAGGTGTCTGCATCCACCCACAAGGCGAGTTTATATCTCTAGACATGTTGCATTTGATGAAAATTTATATCCTTATACTAACCTCAATTCTTTGTTTGATAGTGCTCAAATTCAGGGGGAGCTGTCCACCTATGCAGAATGGTCAGAGTGTTATGAGCCTCCTGACACACTGACTCATTCTTCTTCTGATTCATCACCACCACATAAACGACCCATATGGGACGCCCTTGATGTATCTGGTCCCTCAGGTCTTGCTTTGCCCGTCACTAATAATAACTCTCCAACTTCTTTTGTAGAAGAAGATGTCACCACTACAACACCAATCCAAGATGTGCAGGATGATGCAACACACAATCATGGTGATGAAAGTGCTGCAACTCAAGAAACCAACCATCTAATTTTTTAACAGCCTCTGAGCATTCTCGTCATCATATGGTCACAAGATCTCAAGATGGTACTCGAAGACCTCGGATTTTCCCATCTATGGCAACAATCTCAATTGCTCCTACTTTTGAAGCTATCCCTTCTACACCTAAAACCATTAGGTCTACCTTGGGTCATCCGCGTTGGCATCATGTGATGAAAGAGGAAATTGAAGCCCTACATGTTATCTGAACTTGGGAGCTAGTTCTACATATTCCAGGTTTAACTATTGTTGGTTGTCGTTGCGTCTAAAAGACTGAATTAAAATCTGATGGTAGTTTAGAGAGACTTAAGGCCAGACTAGTTGCTAAAAGATATAATCAGGTTACTGGAATTGATTTTTCTGAAACATTTAGTCCTGTAATTACGCTTGCTAGTATTCGGATTGTGCTCACCATACCTATTGTGTGTCACTAGCCTATCAAAGAGCTTCATGTGAAAAATGTTTTCCTGCATGGCTTTCTTAAGGAACCTGTATTTATGGAACAACCCTCTGGATTTGTGAGCTCAAGATATCCAAATCATGTCTGCAAATTATAAAGAGCGTTATATGGTCTCAAGCAAGCACCACGGGCCTGGTTTGATCGATTTAGTGCCTATTTGTTATCATTGGGGTTTTATTGCAGCATAGTTGATTCATCTCTATTTGTTTCTCGTACTACTCAAGGCACTATTATCCTTCTCCTTTATATTGATGATATTATTGTTGCTGGTGATAATTTAGATCTTCTAAAATGGTTCATTTCCCAACTTGGACGGGAATTTGCAATGAAAGATCTTGGACATCTTCACTACTTTCTTAGCATCGAGGTATCTTATTTTTCAGGTGGAATTTTTCTATCGTAAAGCAAATATGCTCGAGATCTTCTTAATCATGCTCAAATGCTCGGTGACAAACCTATTTCAACACCAATGGCAATGAAGAATAATATTCATGAGAATTCTGATATGTTTCCCGATCCATCCTTTTATCAGAGCGTGGTCGATGCACTCCAATACATTACCACAATACGGTATGACCTTTCCCACAGTGTTAATACAGTGTGCCAACTTATGCATGCCCCTACAATTGCACATTTTTAGGCAGTGAAGCGGATTCTTCATTATCTCAGTGGTACACAATCCTGTGACATAAGAATCTTATCTGATAGTTCCCTTGAGTTATATGCTTTCTCTGGTGCAGACTGGGCTGGGTGTCCAAACACTCGTCATTCAACCACTGGTTTCTGCACCTATCTTAGTTCTAACAGCATAACTTGGAGTGCTAAGAAACAATCGACTGTGGCTCAAGTGTTGAAGCGAAAAACCGATCTATGGCATCCACTGCTGCAGAATTGACATGGCTTTCTTTTATTCTTCGGGATATTAGGGTGCCTCTTCGTCAACCACCAACACTTTTTTGTGATAATATCAGTGCTCTCTACATGACAGTTAATCTTGTTTTTCATGCCCGGACGAAGCACATTGAGTTGGACTATCATGGTTTACTTATCACTCGATTTGTTTCCTCTCACAATCAAGTAGTTGATATCTTTACCAAGCCTTTGCCACGAGATGTTTTATAGGATCTTTGCATCAAACTCGGGCTTCAACTGCCTCCTTAGCCAAGTTTGAGGGGGAGTAATAGAAACAAAATTCAAATAAGATAGGAACATACATTACCCTTTCCTTTTGAGAGGAGAATGTAACAAGATTGGAAAGTATATATCGATAGGAAAATGTATATTGCATGTAACAAGATAGGAAAGTGTATATTGCATCATTACATATACAATGAAAGAACCACCAGCAATCATTGTGTGTGGGGCACAATTATTTTTCAAAGAGTTCCTCTCTCTAAAATTTCTATAGAAGGGTGGGAGATGTTGGAAGGAAAGGAGGAATAAAACACCCAAGGAGAAGAAGAAAGGCTAGTAGGATGATTTAAGCAGGCTCACTACATGCGTAGAAGCCAAATGCATAGAAAATGGAGGATTCGTTCTTTTCCCAATAATACTTCTTATTCATAACGTTTCTAGAGATTTTGGGGACTAAAATAGACCAAGAAGATCAAAATGGACAAGGAAGATTAAAATATGGACAATATATATTGTGTCCCCACCTAAAAAATCCAACTACTATCGGTTAATAATGTCATGTCTTTTAAGGAGAAGCAAGTTAACATCTTTAGTTTTATCATCATCATCCAAGCCTTATCCCAATTATTTGGGATCGGCTATATGAATCTTGTTCCACCATTCTTCTCTATCAAAGGTACCCTCAGTAAGACCAAAAGTCACCATATATTTTCTCACTGCTTCTATACATGTAGGGTTCTCAAGAACTCCTAGCTTGCAGAACCGAGAATCCCAAATATCGAGATCCCACCCAAGATCGTGTAGATGATTGGCTAAATGCGAAGTAGATGAATACAACTATACATTGAGTGCGAGAAATAGAGCAAAACATATAAAAACACACCACCACAACACCCGATTTACATGGTTCACCCTGTAGGGCTACATCCACAGCCTCAACAAGTTTAAATCCACTATCACAATGAAGATTATAGTTTTGGGTTACAAGAGATAATATCTATATTTAAACATCGATAAAAACCCATCACTGATCTTTCCTTCTAAACCTGCTCTCTCGATCGAGCAACAATAATGTCGATCAATATCTTCTTTCCCACCCAATACCGCTACCGAAAAGATAACTTCGAGAGCAACTGAGAGATTTTCTCTCTCTAGAAGTGGAAACCTTACCAACCTAAAACTCATGGGAATACCACCTCTCTCTTGGAGGCCATGTCTCTCTCTCTTGGAGAGCCATCTTCATATAGGAGATCCAAAGGGGTAACCCTCAAAAAGATGGGTTTTATGTCTTTCTTCATTCCTTTATGTATAGATCACCTTTCTTGCTTCCCAAGAAAGTCCATTTCCTTTTTACAATAATACCCTTAATTTTTTATAAGAAAATATGGGTATAGTGATTTGGCTATCACCAAACCCAACAATCTCCACCTTGATAGCAAAATCACCATAATTGCCTTGGCAACCTTCATTGAATAGATTTCTTCGCACTTGCTTTCATTGTGGAATTTTCACAAACACTTCGCCTCAAAATTTATCCATCAAAATTCAAGATTCCTCTTTTTCTCAATGCGAGCCTTAGCCCCATATACACCTTGTGTCTTAATACCAATTGTAGGGTTCTCGGGGAATCCCTCGTTTGCGTAACCAGGAATCCCAAATACCGGGATCCCACCTAAGATCGTGTATACAATTGGCTTAATGCGAAGTAGATGAATACAACTATAAATCAAGTGCAAGAAATAAAACAAACATAAAAATAACATCACCACAATACACGATTTACGTGGTTCACCCTATAGGGTTACATCTATGGCCTTAGCAAGTAGAAATCTACTATCTCAATGAATATTACAGCTTTGGGTTACAAGAGATAATACCTATCTCTAAACATCGGTAAAAAACCATCACCCATCTGTCCTTCTAAACTCGCTCTTTGACCGAACAACACCATTAATCAATACCTTTTTTCCCACCGTAATACAGCTATCGAAAATATAACTTTGAGAGCAACCGAGAAACTTTCTCCCTATAGAAGTGGAAACAAATTAACCCAAAACTCCATGGGAATACTGCCTCTCTCTCGGAGGCCATGTCTCTCTCCCTTGGAGACCCATCTCCTCTTTGAAGATCCATTCCCACAACCCCTAAAGGGGTGACCCTCAAAAGGATGAGTATTATGTCTTCATGACTCTCTTTTATAGACATCACTTTCTTACTTCTCAATAAAGTCACTTTTCATTTCCCATAATACCCTCAATTTTTAATATAGAATATGGGTAAGGTGATTTGACTATCACCAAACCCAACATCCATGTCCTTTTAAGCTTTCCCCTTGCCCTTTTAGAGCCTTCCGCTTGAACCAAATCATACCTCCTAACCAATGTTGTATTAGGTCTATACTGCACATGGCCAACCCACCTAAGTCTACTTTCCCTCATCTTATCGTTTACTAAAGTCACTCCTAAGTTTCCTTATATGTATTCATTCTGAATTCTATCATTTCTTGTCTTACAACTCATCCATCTCAACATCGTCATCTCAACTAACACTCATCCTGTAGATATGTTGTTTCTTGACCACCCAACATTCCGTCCCATAAAGCATGACTGGACTTATACATGTCTTCTAGAACTTCCCCTTCAGTCTCAATGGTATGCGGCGATCACATAAAACTATGGATGCATATCTCCACTTCGCCCATCCAGCTCTGATTTTCTTTGTGACATCTTCCTCAATCTCTTCATTCTCCTATATTATAGACCCTTGATATCATAAACAACCTCTTTTAGGTATTTTTTTACTATCAATCTTAATAACTTCCTTGCTTCTACTCCTATTATTACTAAATTTGCATTTCATATATTATGTCTTAGTCCGGCTAATTTTAAAACCTTTAGAATTTAGAGCATTGCTCCAATGTTCTAGCTTCACGTTGATGCCACCTCTAGTCTTGTCAATCACAACTATGTCATTTGCAAATAATGTACATCACAGTACCTCATCTTATAGGTGCTTGATTAACCCGCTCCTCATACATAATTCTCAATATATGAATATAGCCTCTGATGACTCCTTCCTTTTCCAACACCTACGAAATTAGCATCTTTAGTTTCTTCAAGAAATTATGTTCCAGCACATGATCCAATAGTCTCATGAAGTAGTCCAAGGGAGAATGTATAATGCAGCTTCTTTATCACTGAAAGATTATGAAGTCATTGGGAAAGTTCGGTCCAAAATAACACTCAGTTTGGTGTAGGGGTGGCAATGGGTCGGGTCCCGCTGGACCCGGACCCAGGGACCCAGACCCGAATGTATTCGGGTCTAGGTTTTGGACTCGGACCCATACCTGTACCCGTCGGGTCCCGGGTCTAGTCGGGTCTATTGCCACCCTCACTATGAGCTTCTTTTTTTGTAGCCTACAATGGTGAACAACATATAACTAATTTTTTAGGGGTGGGCGATTAGAGAGAGAGAGACAATCGAGATCCAGAGAGAGAGCTATGTCTTCAAGAAACTAAGAGAGGGAGAACTGGTGATGGGGTTTGGCCGTTTGGGAAACTAGGGAAAGACAAGAAGTATTGAAACAATTTTAGGGTTGGGGCTTTGGCCTTTGGGTAAACTAAAACTTCGGGTCTGGGTACCCGTCGGGTCGGGTATAGCAAGACCCCCTACCCGGACCCGGGACTATCCGGATATCCTTTATTGGACAGGGACCCTACCCACGGGTCCAAAACTTGGACCCATACCCGGACCCGTGTCGGGTATACCTGGCAGGTATGGGTTGGGTCCAGGTCCATTACCACCACTAGTTTGGTGTAACTACTGGCAGTAAATTGCGAGTGAGAGATGGCAATGCAAAACGAAGTACATTTCAGCCTCAATCTCTGCTGAGGGAGGAAATAACAATTAATGATTGGAGGACCGGAAGATAATTTCTATGGGCAGGAGATCCCCAAGAAACTTAGTCCTCCAACCACCAGATCCTTCGATGGAGAAATTCAAAGCCCACAGTAAATATACTGAGTTACAGAATGCCTCGTATAATGAGTTTCTAGAAATAACTTATAGTCCTAGAAAGGAGATACAACAAAGGTCTATAAAAAACACGATAGCTCAAGCTCAAATTTAAGGCCAATTCAGTTATATCCAGAAAGAAATAGAAAAAGTATAACTTTCTGAAAATAAAACATATGAACAGGATGAGAAGAATCGGGATTGGCTGAAACAAAATATCCAGTGCATATTTAAACACTGATGCAGAAAATTCCATTTAAATTAAGCAATATAAGTGAGTCAATAGAAATTAAGCCAAATTAAGAGATACCCACAATGGAAAATCATAGAAAACAAGGAGGGAGAGTGAAGGGACCTCCAAAGCCTGCTTAAATCTGGAGTTTTGGCGCAATTGCCTGGTAATATTGCGGAGCTCCCATTTGGCCAAGGGTTTACCTTCTCTGATCCACTCCTCCAATACAGAGGAAGACATGATGCTCTGCGAACCCAGCAGCTGAATCCTCCTGTACAAGCTTTCCCAGTCTGATGATACAGGTCTATGAGGGAGGGGCTTATCACACTCCCCATCAACTGAAACTGAAACTGAAAGAGCTGTGATGCTTTTACAAGGAAAAGGGTGCCTCGTTCTCATTTTGGGGGAGAATGAAGAATAATAAGAACCAACAAACCCAGTGATCCCATTAGAGGGACCCTTTGTGATTCCAAGTGTTTCCAGAGGAGCTGCAGATGGGGTAAACAGCATTAGGTTTTCAGCAAAGCACAAGGCAGAGGTTAGAGAAAGAGAGAGGAGTGGACCACTTTACCTGGTTGCCGTCCAATTCGGCATGGAAGTTGAAGAAGGGCCATTCGCAATGCTCTCCCGCTTCCCCTCCCTCTCTCTCTCTCTCTCTCTCTCGCCTTGTTGATAAGGCCCAAGGCATGAAAATACAAGGTGCAGTCGATGGACTTGGCTTAGCTCGGCTTCGCTGGACTTGGCTTAGCTCGGCTTGGCTTGGCTGGACTTGGCTTAGCTCGGCTGAGTTCGGCTAGGCTCGGCTCAGTTCGGCTCGGCTATGTTATTTTGAGCTATATCGGCTCGGCTCGGCTCAGTGTTCAATTTTTTATATCGTTTTTTTGAGCCGAGCCGAGCTGATAGGAGCTAAGATGAGCCGACGTAGCCGAGCCGAGCCGATATGATCTGAGCCGAGCCAACCTTAGTCGAGCTCAGCCGATATAAGCCGAGCCGAGCCGAATCAAAAAATACCTCGTAAAAATATCCCAAAAAAATTATATTTTAAAGTTTAAACACTAGAAATTGTGGATTAAAATTGGAAAAAAAATCATCTTTAAAATATATTGGTAAATTCCCACTAATATACTTTAATTTTAACGAAATTGGAAAGAAATTTCAAACTTTTCAAAACCTCACCTACACCTTTTTTCTATTTTGGACAAAAATATTATTTATGACAATCTTTCTACCATAAAGGTATTGATAGAACTACGATACTTCGAGTACCGTAATACCTTGAAAATGTACTAAAGTACCGTAATATTGTAATAATTTAATATGTATCATTTTAGGGAAAGCTTTTTATATTCCCCTACAACATATAAGTTTTATGTTCCTCCTACCATCCAGCCGTCCATTTTTTATCAAGATAACCACTCATCATTTGATCTTAGATTCGACGTTTTGAAATATATTTTTTTTAGTTTTTTTAATACAATTTTTTTTAATATGAAATTTTGTACGTGTTATCTTTTCACGGGGGCGCACCTATAAAAAATATTAACAATAATTTTTGGATAAAAAATAATAACCAAAATACCCCTTTAAACTTTTATGGGTATTTTGGTCATTTTATTTTATTAAAAAAAAATTATTTTTCATTAGTGCGAGTTTAATATAGGAATGGACGTCCAAAATTTAGTGTCAAAACAATCTATAGAAAATAAAAATAAAAATAAAACAATGTAGAGACATGACATTGTGATTGAGGCAATCTTAACCCTCCATTAAAAAATGGACGGTTGGATAAGGGGAACATAGAACTTCTATGTTGTAGGGGAACATAGAAAGCTTTTCCATAATTTTATACGATATTTAAAATATCGCAATAACTTCAATTAGCATTACGGTACTTTAAGTACTATAAAAACTAACTCATGTTATATGACACTTCAAATGCCCTAAAACCTTTTCTCTTTATTATATTTCTTTCTTTCATTTCTATTTTTTTTATGTTTATCTCTTATTTTTCTCTATCATTCTAGTTAATATTTATCTCTTCTTTCTCTCTAATTTTTTTTTATCTCTTTTTTCTCTCTAATTTTTTTTTATCTCTTATTTCTCTTTGTAAATCTTTTCTATCTCTGGGATATTTGGCTGTGTCCAAATTGGCTCGTAGAGTAAGATTGTAGAAAGAAAAAAAAGAGATAAAAAAGAATGATAGAGAAAGAAGAAATAAATATGAAAAAAGAATTAGAGAGAAATAATTGTTAAGAATTAGAGATGAAATACATAAATATAAATATAATGATTTTATATTTATGTATTTCATCTCTAATTTCTTTTATGTTGATCTATTCTTTCTATCTCTATGTTATATGGCATTTAAAATGCCGTAAACCCTGTTCAAATGCCGTAAACCCTTTTCTCATAGAGATAGAAAGAATATATCAACATAAAATAAAGTAGAGATGAAATAAATAAATAGAAACAGCGTTTACGCCATTTAAAATGCTATATACCATTTTTAAAATGCTATAAATCATTTTTTTGTATTTATCTATTTAATTTCTAATTCTTTTTATGTTTATTATTATTTGTCTTTCATATTTATCTTTTTTTTCTCTCTCAATCTTTTTTATCTCTTATTTCTCTCTCTATCATCTTACTCTATGAGCCAATTTGGATACGGCCAAATATTCCAAATAGGGAGAGAAAAGATTTAGAGAGAGAAAGAAAGATAAAAAAAATTAGAGAAAAAGAAGAGATAAATATTAAAACAATGAGAGAGAGAAATAAGAGAAACATAAAAAAAATAGAGTTGAAAGAGATAAATATAATAAGGAGAAAAGGTCGTCGTATAATATGGGTTAGTTTTTAGGGTAGTAAAATGGGTTTTAGTTTTTACGGTACTTTAAGTACCGTAATTGGCTTCTATAGTTTTACGGAACTTAAAGTACCGTAATGCTTGGTGTTACGGTACTATAAGTACCATAATATATTTTCAAAGTATTACAGTACTCGAAGTACCGTAATTCTATCAATGCCTTTACGGTAGAAAGACTATCGTAAAATGGCATTTTGGTCAAAAAACTCACAAAAATTGAGAAAATGGTGTGAGCAAGGTTTTGAGAAGTTTGAGGGTTTTTTCCAATTTTGTTAAAATTAAGATATATTAACGGTAGTTTTCCAAATATAGTTGAAAAGGGGCTTGTATGCTTACTTTTAGAAATAACATCCTATAAAAAAACTATTTATTTTTTATGCACGGACGTCACAATCTTCATTAACCATTATTTGAGCACATAATTTAAAATAAAATTTGTCATATATAATTTATAAAATAAAATGTATCATAGTATCCAATCCCCCCAAAAAATGGGTATGTATGTATTGAACCCAAAAATTAAGCACTTATGGGAAACCCCCTTTTTTATATATATAGAAATGGTTTATTGAAGGTCGTCGAAGGTGTTAACTATGAAGGAAAGCTGCACCACAAAATACCTATCCAAATAAGTTGTTTTAATGTTGAAAAACATTATCTTAACCTTGGCATAGGTATTAGAAACTGGTGGATGAAAGAGGGCAAAAGATTTAATTTTTCACAAACTCTTTCCAAAGTAACATGAATGATCAACATTCGTCGTGTTTTCAGGCACAAAAAACTTTGCTGCAATATTTGCTTCAAGAATCAAATCAATACACATCCAAGTTCTCTTGATGTGTAGATCTACCTTTTCTTGAAATCTCTCTTCTAATTCAAAATCGTGGTGTAACGTGTATGCACTTTTGTTCCTGCCATAGAATAGGTGGAATAAATCGCAAAAATAGATTTTTGTTCAAGAATGAAATCTTATTGGAACTGTCCATATCCAGTTCGTCCTTCGGAACCATATCACATCTCGGATCTGATAAAATAAGATGCGTTTGTTTTTTTGAAAGATATCTTCTAGAAAGTTAAATGTTTTGTTCTAAAATAATTAAATAAGTATGGGTATTGTGTTTGATAACATATACATATTAACCATATAAAAATATATATATAACATAATATAGTGGGTATAGGTGTGGTTTCCATAAGGTTGCAACCTTAAACAATCAAATTAAGGCGCACCTTCAAATTTGATCATAATATATAATTTTGATGTGAAATTTTCTTAAGATTATCTCAAAATCTATTTTCGTATTTCATTACAAAATTTTAAACTCTAAAAATGGTTAAAATCAAGTAGATATATATAAACATATGAAATTTTTAAAAATGTACGGTCTAGATAATGTGTAATAAGATGTACTATTTTTTGGACTCAAAATCTTTTTTTATTTCATAATCATACATATCAATGTCAAGATGCTCAATTAGATGGTTTTTCAATATTGAAACAACCTTCTCCAATAGAATTTTGAGGTGCATCCATAGTTCTACATTTTAAGGTTGCAGCCTTATATAAACTTTTTTCTAATATAATATATAATATATAATATATTTGTATTATATATAACATATAATATAATTTTATTATAATATAATATAAGATATTTATATATTATATGAGAAATGACACTATGAGACCCACCCACACCCATGTGAGTAGGATCTAAAAGAATCACCATTAATTTTTGACTTAGATATCTAAAAAAGTTATTACATGGGTGTGGGACTTGGGTGAATGGGTTTTCTAGAGATCTATGTCAAAATTTAATGGTGATCCTTTGGGATCCTATTCACATGGGTGTAAGAGGGTCTCATAGTATCATTACTCATTTTATATATAATATATAGTAGGGAAAAGTTTATATAAGGTTGCAACTTAAAAATGTAGAACTACGGATGCACCTCAAAAATCCATCGGAAAAGGTTTTTTTAATATTGAAAAACCCTCTAATTGATCATCTCGATGTTGAGATGTACGACTATGAAAAAGAAAGGATTTTGAGTCTCATAAATGATGCATCTTACAACACATTATCTAGACCATCCATTTTCAAGATTTTCATATGTTTATAGATCTACTTTATTTTAATCATTTTGGAGTTTAAAATTTTATAATTAGATATAAAAATAAATTTTGAGATAATCTTAAAAATATTTTTACATCAAAATTGTATGATATGATAAAAATTGGATGTGCGCCTCAAATAGATTGTTTAAGGTTGCTACCCTATGGAAACCACACCCTATATAGTATAATAGAAGATATTTGTATATACATATATTTTAATATTATGTATATAATATTTATATTATCATTTAATATATTATGTATCCATTCCAAAGTAATATCTCATGACAAAATTTGTAGGTGCGCATTGTCTACGATTTCAACCTTATGCAAACCACACTTCTTGTATATTTTTACATGTACCATGTACGCACTATATCACGCCAAAAGATTTCCTATTCCCACAGGAGGATTTTCTATTCCAACAAGAGTATACTGTCCATCTGCTCCTTCGGTCAAAACTAATGCTAACGGTATTTTTTAGATCCCAAATTTTGGGATGTAATCTTTAAAACCGAGGGACCAACCTCAAAGTAATAAAGATTTAAATGTCAGTAAAGTTTTTTTAGAAAAGTGACATCTCAAGATTGTATAGAAATCGTCCAATATTTCGAAGGAAAAGATGTTCAAGATTACAAAACTAAATAAATTTATTTGATAATAACCACAAGGGA